GAACATCGATGTGAGAGAGACACATCAATTGGTTGCCCCAACCAGGGCCAGGGATTGAGCCTGCAACCCTGCAACCGAGGTACATGCCCTTGACTGGAATCGAACCTGGGACCCTTCAGTCCACAGGCCGAAGCTCTAACCATTCTAACCACTGAGTCAAATCGGCTAGGTCTATTCATGACAGTTTTGGGGTGTTTTTTTTAAAATATATTTTTATTGATTTCAGAGAGAGGAAGGGAGAGAGAGAGATAGAAACATCAGTGATGAGAGAGTCATTGATCGGCTGCCTCCTGCACACCCCGACTGGGGATCGAACCCTGCATGTGCCCTGACTGGGAATCGAAGGGTGATCTCCTGGATCCTAGGTTGATGCTCAACCGCTGAGCCACGCCCGGCCGGGCATTTCAGGACAGTTTTGTTGAGTGCTTGAGGGAGGAGCACTAGAGCTATGAAAGGACAGAATGGGGGGGGGGGTTTAGAAGCTACAAACAAGGTCCCGCCCTGCCCTGGGGAGTTCGTGGTCCAGCAGGAGACTTACACCACTGTGACAGAGCAGAGGGGAAGGGGTACGAAATCTGCTTGGGGTTGGGAACTATCTCAGAGCTTGTGACTGAAGGTCGTGGGATCGAGTACAATTTCATCAGCTGGAGAAGGGAATTTCAGCTGGGAAGACAATTTCAGGCTGAAAGCAAAGGCAGTCACAGGAGTGGGTGGGATGTGTGCAGACTGGAATGCCTAGGGCGAGTTGAGTGCCAGAGCAGGAGTGGCGGGAGATGGGGCTGGATCGTAAAAGGCTTGGCTAGCCCTGGCCAGTTTGGCTCGGTGGTTAGAGTGTTGGCCCATGGACTGAAGGGTCCTGGGTTCAGTTAGGCCAAGGGCACGTACCTGGGTTGCAGGCTCGATCCCCGGCCCGGGTCAGGGCGCATTCTGTAGGCAAAGGCAACCAATCTATGTGTCTCTCTCACATTGATGTTTCTCTCTCTCCCTTCCACTCTGAAAAGCAATGGAAAAATATCCTCGTGTGAGGATTAAAAAAAAAAAGAGGCTTGTCTAGACCAGAGGGAGCCACATCCTTACTGGGCTCTCAACCCCAACTGTTGGAGTCCCTGCCTCTGGCAGGAGGGGTGGAGAAGTGGGCAGAGCCCCGGTCTAAGAGGCAGAGGCCTAGACTTTGGCCCTGACCCTGCCACTACATCATGCCATTTCTTCTGGCCTCAGTTTCTTTCTCTATAAAATGGGAATAATAATAACACTAACTACCATTCACTCTTCTAAATGTGTTACAAATATTGTTGTATCAAATCCTCACAACTGTTCTCAGAGATAGTTTTATTCTTATTCCCATTCCAGATGAGGAAACTGAGGCCCAGCAAGGTTAAATGCCCTGCCCTCTAGTAAGTGGGATTTGAACCCAGACACTCTGGCTGCAGAGTCCAAGTTCTTTACCACATTCCTAGCCGTGGCCATCCTGCCTATCTCAGGGCTGCTTGGTTACTCAGCAAATATTTATGGAGTATCTACTATGTGCCAGGCACTGTATTAGGTGCTGAGGACACAGCAAGGAACAGGACAGATAAGATCCCTGTCATCAAGTGACATTCTAAAGCAGGAGACAGACAATGGACAAGTAAATATAAAGTGAGGTCATTTTGGACTGTGTATGTATTATTGGGTAAATAAAACAGTTACAGAGACTGGCTTTAATGATAGGAACACAGGGATTCACTGTGTGCCAAGAAGTGTTAGAAGTTCTTTATGTTTTGTTATTACATTCTCTTTTTTAAAATAACATTTTAGGGGTTTTGTGTGTTTTTAAACATATGTACTTTTTTTTAAAAAAATGTTTTTATTGATTTTAGGAAGAAAGGAAGGGAGGGGGCAAGAGAGATAGGAGCATCCACGTCAACACTGATTGGCCGCCTGCTGCACACCCCCTGCTGGGGATTGAGCCATATGCCCTGACCGGAAATTGAACTGGGACCTCCTGGAGCATGGGCCTATGCTCAACCACTGAGCAACACTGGCCAGGCTGTGTGTTTTTTTTGTTTGTTTTTTAATTGATTTTACAGAGGGAGGAAGGGAGAGAGAGAAACATAGATTGTACCCACAACCTAGGTATGTGCCCTGACCAGGAATTTAACCCTCGACCTTCCAGTGCATAGGACAACACTCCAACCAACTGAGCTACACTGGCCAGGGCTAACTTATTTCATTCTTATATCAAGCCTAAGGTGTGGGTACTCTTATTTGCCCAGGGTCACACAAAGGGAAGAGTTGCTGGCAGAGGGCACAGCAAGTGCAAAGGAGACAGTAGGTATGAGGTTGTTTGAGATATGAGGTTGTTTGAAGTTGTTTTATGGTTTGAAACCAGCCCTGACCAGTTTTCTCACTGGTTAGAGCGTAGGCCCTCAGACTGAAGGGTCCTGGGTTTGATTCAGGCCAAGGGCATGTACTTTGGTTGTGGACTCAGTCCTTGGCTCCGGTCAGGGCGCATGTGGGAGGCAACCAGTTGATGTGTCTCTCTCACATCGATGTTTTTTCCTTCTCTCTCTCCCCCTCTCCCTTCCTCTCTCTAAACATCAATTTAAAAAAACGAAAAATAAATAAAATAACAGTGGGCACTGTCCCCTCAGGGAGCTCGCCCATGCCATTCTCTTCCCTCTCCTTCCCCCATAGGCACGTATCTTCTAAACTCTAAGGGACCCTAGGGGACTTGCAACCAGGGGAGCAATAGGCAGCGGCAGTTTGTCCCGGGCTAACCCCTTGAATCTGTCTCCAAGGCCCCCTTTTCCCTGACTTCTCAGTGAGCCAAAGCAGCCTGGCCTAGGCTCTCCTGTTGCTTCTATGCCTTTCTTTGTTTCATTGTCCTACATGTTTTTTTTCTGCGGTCAATAAATTCTTGCTTTTCCACAAAAAAAGGGGGGATAAATAAGTGGTGATGGATGGAGACTTGAGTAGGGGTGGTGAACACACAATACAGTGCACAGATGCTGTGTGTAGAATTGTGCACCTGAAACCTATAGAATTTTGTTAACCAGTGTCACCCCAAAAAATTCAATAAAAAAGAAAAAGAAAGAATGTGAGGGGGTTTCCTGACCCTTGGGCAGCGGAGACCGAGGGGCGGGTGGATGGCCCGGGTGCATGGCTGTGTGTTCGTGTCCTAGGAGGCTAACGGCCCAGCGGAAGGCTATGCTGCCATTGCCCAGGCTGACAGGCTGACACAGGAGCCCGAGAGCATCCGCAAATGGAGAGAGGAGCAGAGGAAACGGCTGCAAGAGCTGGGTGAGGGCAGGGCTGAGGCTGGCTGGCTGCTCGGGACATGGCGACGGGTGGGGAAACCTCAAGGCATATGCCCCCCGGAATGTGGGAAGTGTGTGGGGATGGGCGCGGGGGGAGGAGGGGAGAGCAGCTGGGGCAGCTGGGCTCCTCGTGTCCCTGCTGGAAAGCCGCCACTTATTCTCCTGTTGGGGTTGCAGACGCCGCCTCCAAGGTGACAGAACAGGAGTGGCGGGAGAAGGCCAAGAAGGACCTGGAGGAATGGAACCAGCGCCAGAGTGAACAAGTTGAAAAGAACAAGATCAACAACCGGTAACAGATGCTTTGGGAATGTGAGGGCTATGGGGCCATGTGGGGGCTATGGTGGCAAGAGGGGGCTGGGGGACAGGAAGGGTCTATGGTGGCAGGAG